TCACTCTTCGCCAAAAACATAAATAGCCTCTCTAGCTATAGGGTGGTAACAATGATGAATGTGAACCCTCCCTTTCTTGTTCTTGCCTGTGTTCTTATAAAGGTGCTGAAAGAAGAATGAGGTGATCAAAGCAGAAGACAGGACAAAGAGGAGACCAGTAAAAAGTCCAAACCAATTAAAACTAGCAGCAGAGTTACAGTGATTAAACATGTAGACTCTGGGGGCAGACTGTATGGTGAGTCTTGGTTCCACCATTAACAGCTAAGAGACCTTGGTCAAGATGCTTAAACTCTCTGCTCAGTTTCTTCATCTGTTAAATGAGAATAATAGCAGTACCTACCTCATAGGGTTGCCATGATGATTAAATAAGCTAATATTTGTGAAACAGAATAATGCTTGTTATATATCAAGCATCACAGAAATATTTTTTATTAACTACAATAAATGTAGAGTTTGAAATTATTTTAACAATGGCACAGTGTGTCGGATGACCCTCAAATCTTCTAGCAGCTTCAGGACCTAGAGGCATAATAATAGCTCCCATTAAACCACCTACACCCTGCATCCTCTAATATCAACTATTTCCCAAGAATTTCTTTATAATACTTTCACAATAGAACTTGACAGAAATACACTCCTGGACTTCTCTCAGTAATGGTTCCCATTGCTACAGCCACCGTACATGGTGGAAATGGCTCATCTACCTTAGAAGACAAGGCCTATGAAACCACAAAAGTTCTTGTTTGCTCACATACTACAAATTAAACCAGTAATCCAGGACTGGAGCTGGGTGACATCAGGCCACTTACTACAGAGAAAATAAAACGAAGGGAAATTTTTACCCTACCAGAAGTGTCTTCTTAGTACACGGCTCACAGTGCAAAGCAAAACTCCTCAAAGAACTGTCCACACTCACTGTCCCAAATCTTGTCCTTCCTTTCTTTCTTAATTTCATTCTAGTGAGGCGCTCAGCTATATCTACTTTGCTAAATCCAGTAAGACCTCCTCATATTTCACTTGCAGCAGTGTAAATACTGCTGATACTCTCTCTTCTTTGAGTTCTTTCTTCTCTTGGCTTCCAGGCCACCATATTCTCCTGGGTTTTCTGGTTACTGTTTTTGGAGCTCCTTGTCTCCCCAACCTATTCTCTCCATCGACACTCTTCTCTTATCCATCCACATTTGCTCCCACAGTGAGTGAGCTCATCCAACCTCATGGTTTAAAATCCCATTTCTCCTTCCCCATGATTTCCAAAAGTGTATCTCAGCCCAAACCTCAGTCCTAAACCCCTGACTCATACAGCCAATTGCCTACTCAATATCTCCACTTGGATGTGTAACAGGATCCTAAACTAGCTTGTCCAAAACCAAACTCCTTGCCTTCCTCGCAAAACCAGCTCCTTTGCAATCTTTCCCATCTCATTTAATGACATCCCCTACCTTGCACTCCTCCCTTCACCTTCTCCAATACCTTACTAGTCAGTAAATCCTATCAACTCTACCTTTAAAATATATCCAGAATCTGACCATGACTTACCCCCTCCAAACTGCCTTTTGGTCCAAGCCACCATTTTTCCCCTTGAGTACTGAAACACCCTACTAATCAATTGTTTTTCTTCTTCCCTTGCCCCACTATTTTCTCAAAAGAGCAGCCAGAGAGATGCCATTAAATTGTAAGTCAGTACAGCCACGGCAGTCAAAATACCCTGGTACTGGTACAATGACAGACACATAAACCAATGGAACAGAATCAAGAACCCAGCTGTAAATCCATCTACCTACGGTCAGCTGATCGTTGACAAAAGACCAAAGTCCATTAAACGGGCAAAAGAGTCTTTTTAAGAAATGGTGCTAGCAAAACTGGATGTCCATCTGTAAAAAAATTAAATAGGACTCATACTTCACACCATACACAAAAACTAACTCAAAATGGATCAACGACCTAAATATAAAACCTAAAACAATAAAGATCATGGAAGAAAAAATAGGGACAATGTTAGGGGTCCTAAAGCGTGATATAAATACAATACAAACCACATTTAACAATACACAAACACCTGAATAAACTAGACAACTGGGATCTTCTAAAAATTAAACACTTATGCCCTTCAAAAGACTTCACCAAAAAAGAGTAAAGAGAGAACCCAAAGACTGGGAAAAATTTTTGGCTATGACATATCCAATAAGGGTCTAATCTCTGAAATCTGTAGAATACTTCAACACCTCAACAACAAAAAGACAAATAATCCAAATTTAAAAAATGGGCAAAGGATATGAACAGACACTTCACCAAAGAAGACATTCAGACAGCTAACAGACACATAAAGAAATGCTGTCGATCATTAGCCATTAGAGAAACGCAAATCAAAACTACAGTGAGATACCATCTTACCCCAACATTACTGTCACGGATCAAAAAATAGAAAATAACAAATGCTGGAGAGGATGGAGACAGATTAGAACTCTTCTACTGGTAGGAGTGTGAAATGATACAACCACTATGGAAAATGATATGGCGCTTCCTTAAAAAGCTAGAAATAGAGAAAACATATGATCCAGCAATCCCACTCCTAGGAATAGATCCTAGAGAAATAAGAGCCATCACACAAATAGACAAATGCACACCCATGTTCACTGCAACATTATTCACAATAGCAAGAAGATGGAAACAACCTAAGCACCCATCAACAGATGAATGAATACACAAATTATGGTACATAGACACAATGGAATACTACCTAAGGATGAAGAGCAATGATGAATCCAGGAACGTCTCACGACATGGATGAATCTGGAGGGCATTATGCTGAATGAAATAAGTCAATTACAAAAGGGCAAATATTATATGAGACCACTGTTATAAAATCCCAAGAAAAGGTTTATGCACAGAAAAAACAAAACAGAACAATCTTTGATGGTTATGAGGGAGAGGAGGAGTGGGGAAGGGAAATCACTAACTAGATATCAGACAAGTGGTAACTTTGGTGAAGGGAAAGACATCACATAATATAGGGAAAGGCAGCACAACTTGACTAAGGCAAATCCATAGAAGCTTTCTAGATACATCCAAACACTTTGAGGGACCGAGTTACTTGGGCTGAGGGCTGGGGACTATGGTTTTGGGGGACATCTAGGTCAACTGGCATAACATAATTCATAAAGAAAATGTTCTGCATCCTACTTTGGTGAGTAGTGTCTGGGGTCTTAAAAGCTTGCAAGTGGCCATCTAAGACACATTTATTGGTTCCATCCCATCTGGAGCAAAGGAGAATGAAGAAAACCAAAGACACAAGGAAAATATTAATCCAAAGGACTATTGGGCCACATGACCCACAGCCTCCACCAGCCTGAGCCTAGAAGAACAAGACGGTGCCCGGATACCACCAATTGCTCTGACAGGGATCACAACAGAGGGTCTTGGACAGAGTGGGAGAAAAATGTAGAACAAAACTCAAATTCAAACACACAAAAAAAGACCAGACATACCGGTCTGACAGAGACTGGAGGAACCCCTGAGACTATGGCCCCCAGACATCCTGTGTCATGGATTGAATTATGTCCCCCAAAAAGTATGTATATCAGTTTGGCTAGACCATGACTCCTGGTATTGTGTGATTTTCCAGTATGTTGTAAATTCTGCCTCTATGATATGAATGAGGGAGGATGGGTGGCAGTTGTGTTAGTAAGGCAGGACTCAATCTACAAGATTGGATTGTGTCCTCAGGCAATCTCTTGAGATATAAAAGAAAGAAGTGAGCAGAGAGACAGGGGGACCTCATACCAACAAGAAAGCAGTGCCGGGAGGAGAGCATGTCCTTTGGACCGGAGGTTCCTACGCAGAGAAGCTCCTAGTCTGGGGAAAGATTGATGACGACGAGGGCCTTCCTCCAGAGTCCACAGAGAGAGAAAGCTTTCCTCTGAAGCTGAGACCCTGAATTTGGACTTGCAGCCTACTAGACTGTGAGAAAATAAATTTGTCTTTGTTAAAGGCATCCACTTGTGGTATTTCTGTTACGGCAGCACTAGATGACTAAGACACCCTGCTAACTCAGAACTGAGGCCACTCTCAAAGTCCACCTTTCCACCAAAGATTAGATGGGTCTATAAAACAAACAATACACACGTGAGGAATGTGTTTCTTAGTTCAATCAAGTAGATGAGACCAAATGGGCAACACCTGACCAAAAGCAAAGACGAGAAGGCAGGAAGGGACATGAAAACTGGACGAACGGACACGAGGAACCCAGGGTATAAAGGGAAAGGGGGAGAGTGCTGACACATTGCAGGGATTGCATCCAATACCACAAAACAATTGTGTGTAAATTTGTGAATGAGAAACTAATCTGCACTGTAAACTTTCACCTAAAGCACAATAAAATAAATAAAATGTAAGTCAGATCAAGTCATTCTTCTATTCAAAACTTTCCAATGGCCTCTCACCTTACTCAGAAAAGTCAAAGTCCTTATGATAAGTACATGTCTCTACATAACCTGACCCCCTCTCCATGAGTGCCCTGACCTCGTCTTCTCCTACTCTCCCCTTGCTCCCTCCATTGCAGCCACGGTGGCCTTCTTGCTGTTCTTCAAACACACTAAGCACATACACACCTCAGGGCTTCTGTGCTTATTGTACTTTCTGCCTAGAACATCCTTTTCTAGATACCCACATGGTTCACTCCCTCTCCACCTTCTCCACATCTCTGCTCAAAAGTCATCTTCTAGATGAAGCTGTCCCTCACAATCCTTGTTAGAACTCCAGTCTACACACACGTAGCACTCTGTCTCCCTTCGCTACTTTATTTTTTTCCACGAGACTCATCAACATCTTTTGCTTGCTGTCTTGTCTTCTCCCATTAGAATATAAGCTCCAGGCAGGTGGGGAGTTTTTCTTTATTTGTTCACTGCTATATTCCCAGTGTTAGGAAGGGCCTTGCACATTGTGGGCACTCAATAAATATTATCTGAATGAGTGGGAACAATGGCTCACTTGGTTCCTCTTACCTAAGACGGTCATCACTGTCTTCATGAGCTTCATGGGTGTCCTCCGACGGCCGATGGACCCACTTGTATGTGGAGACAAGATGTTTGTTTTCCTCTTGACATACATGTAGATCCGCAGGTACACCACAACCATGATGAAGAATGCCACGAGGTTGGACACAGTCCAGAAAATGAGGTAACTCCTGCTATAAATGGGGGCCAGGGAAGAGCAGGTAGAGATGTCACAAAGGCAATTCCAGCCTAGCGTGGGAACCGCCCCCATAAAGATGGCGATGGCCCAGATGAGCAAAATGAGCAGTGTCACCCTCTTTTTGGTCAGGTTGCTGTGGACCCGCATCTTCAGGATTGACATGTGCCTCTCCACAGCAATAACCAGCAAATTGGTCAGGGAGGCAGTTAAACTTGTGTCCAGAAGCCCCTGGCGGAGAAACCAGCGATTGACAGTCAAAGTTTTTGACACGGGGCCAGTGTTAAACATCAGGAATACATAGGCAATGCCAGCAAAGAAATCTGCGGCAGCCAAGTTAGCCAACAGATAGTAGAAAGGAAAATGAAACTTTCTGTTTTTGATCACTGCGGCAATGACCAGAGAATTAGAGAAAAAAATAAATAAGCAGAAAAATGTTCCAAAACACAAAACAATCACAAGCTTTGTCCCCGTCCATTCATCGGCAGTGTCAGTATTGCTCCTATTATAAAAAAAGTCCATACGCTTATCATAGTGACACTCATTCATTGTGGAGAAGAACTGGACATCCTAGAAAGAAATGTAAAGAAGAAACAAAGATTACTATTGTAAAATCAGTCACTAAACCAATTGCTACTGCTAAGCCCCTTCTTCCGGCCAATCCTATGAATCCTTCAGGTCTCAGCATAAATGTCCCTTGCTCCAGGATGCTAGCCCCTGACTTCTTATCATAGCATTTATCTTGCACTGGTAATTTCTGTTTCCCAGGCTATACTGCAAGCTTGATGAGGGAGGGTCTGTGTCTATTTTGCTCACCATTATAACCCCAGGGTCCTGCTGCCCCACCTGCCTCATGACAGGTATTTGTTGACTGGCTGGCTGGCTAGCTGGCTGGCTGGTTGGATGAATGGATGATCTTGGAGGCAACAACAGGTCAAAGGTGCCGAGCTCTGCAATAGCCATTGGTAACAACTACTCACAGCACGTTAAAATTCTCTCTCCTGGTAGTTTCCAGCTCATTTCTTATTTATGAGTTATGTGCATTAATCAAGGGCGGGTTGGTAACACCAGGTACATTCTCACCAAGTAACGGGTGGGGTGAATCACTCCTCACACGACCAAATGGCTTCCCCAAGAGCTCAAATTTTCCAGCACTTTTGATACCACTCCTGGCCTTCCTTTTACTTTCTTTTGGTTTCAAGTTACAGTTGCAACACTCACTTACTAAACATGTGGTGCAGGGTGGAAGACTTTGCTCTCAATACCTCTTCTTTACCTTTTGGTTCACTTCTTCCTTATAGTCTCCGAATCCAAATTGTACCACTGTGAATTTGTTTACTGGATTTTCCAACTTAATCACTCCAAGTTAGTTTCCCAATCTGGGTTCTTTCCAACCCAGCAGGTGGTAGACTGCCAGTGTTGGTCCTATTATTTAAAAAGTCCATCTGCTTATCAGTGACACTCATTCATTGTGGAGGCTTTCATGGGCAAGCTTTCATGGGCAAGACTAAGATCTGGAGTTTGGGTAGACCTCCAATCCAGTGTGAATGTCAGAAAATAACTGCCAAGTAAGGGGCGAGCCCTTAGGACACAAGTCTGAAAGTAGATCGCAAACTGGGTTACCAGGCAGATAGGGAAGACACTAATCTCATAACAAGATCCCTCAGGCCCCAAGAGTGTGGGATGATTCTGGCCAAGGAATGGCTGGGCAAGGGCTCCCAGGATGTCCACCAGTCCATGCTTGGTGGGGGGAACCAGGTGTCCTGCCTCACAGTGGTCTCGCCACAGCCATGAAGTGTCAAATCAAAGGAGACTGAGACTTAAGACCAGGAAATCTATCTTCTGGGAAGACTGACTGTGGGCGCACTCACAAGGAATGAGGCTGCAACTTATTTGCTGGAAAACTGGAGATCCAATAGGCCCAGGTGCTAAACAATTCTTTGGTGGAAACGAAGTGCCTCTAACAGTGTAAGGTTAATAGAAATTCCCAGTATTTAAGGTTCTTGCAAATTCTACAATCCAATACTGCATCCAGAATCAGGATAAGTAGACCAGATATTAATTTTAAGTGGTACAAAACAGAAATGGATCACAGTCTTCTTTTTAATTAATATATCACTAGTGTAATAATACTTTAAAATGCATTAAGTACTTGCTTTTCTACCACAGCAAATGGAAGGTAAAAATATCATTTTATATGCTTAGAATAAATAATCTGGGAGCAGTATCAAGAGACAAATCGTTCTTGTGCCTTTCAGATGCAAGAAGGAGGATTCAATTTTAATAATGGCAAAACAAAAATCACTCTCTTTGGCACATCTTCACTAGCACTGAACTGTCAGTATCAAATAACTCCATACAGCAAGCCAATATATCTACACTATATCATATAATTTTCCCAAATTAAAAATATAGATACATATGATAATTTAATGCTTCATAGTATTCCATTATATGAATATACCACATTTAATTTAACTAATCCCTAAATGTTAAGGTTTTTCCAGTATTTTACTATTATAAACAAGGCTACATTCTTGTGCATTAATCATAACATACCTGTCCAATTATTTCCTTAGGAAAAAAATCATAGATTTGACATTGAGAGGGTACAGGATGTGAATTTAAAAAAAAAGGTTTCTGATACACACCGTCAAAGTATTCTTGAGACAGTTCTATTTCTAATTTCACCAGCAGCATATGGAAGTTGAATACAAGACACCAACTAATCTAGTGAGATTCAATTTAAATATCGAAGGAGAAAATTCACCTTTCAACTATGTTGAAATGTATAGGAATTAAATCCAAGAATCACATGAGAAATTTTAATGATACCATTATGCGCTCTTTCACTAATTAAAAATAATTATGTGATTTTATTTTGCTATATGCTCTAGATAGCTAAGAGAAACATATTTATAATTTAAAATGTATATTACCCTTGACTAAATCATTAGCAATATCAAAATTAATATGTCAGAAAGATCTTGGAATTTAGATACAATAAAAAATACTAAGTTAAAATTTTCCTAATTTTCTTTCAATGGGTCTTAAAATTTAGTTATGGTTCTTAAATTTGGTTGAGTTTATAATTCTATAATGTACTTAATCCTCTATAATTATTTTACTTCAAAATCTTCAAACTCAATTTTTTCCCATTAAAGTCAAAACAATACATTCTTAGACATGTTTCAGCAAAACTGTCCTGAGATTGAGAAGTAGTTTTGTCTTACAAAGCTGAGACAGCACAGAAAAAACCATGATTAATCAAAACTTCCACTAAGCAGCTCTCTACCTCACATCCCATGGATTCTACTTATGCTTTTGTAAGAAGCAAGCAATGAGAGCAAATTAAGCACACAGAGTATTTGTGAAAAAGATAACTTTCATCTACAGGATGGAATATTATGCAACCAGTGAAAACTGTGGTTTCCAAGGAGTTGTGGTAATACGAGAAAATCATATGTCATTATTTACACTGCAAAAAAATTATATACATATATATACAATTATATATGTAGATGTACATACGTATGTGTATGCATATGCATGTGTGTGTGTGTATATATAAAATAGTGACTATTTTTAAAAGGTACAGAATAAAGATAAGGAAAAAATATCTCAAAATAGTTTGTTGCAAATAGTAATTAGCTAATTAGTAAATATTTACTTAAGAATGGTAGAATTGCGGTTCATTAAAAAAAATTTTTTTACAGTTTTTTCTATTTCCCGTATTTTCTATAATAAAACAATAGACTTTTTAAAACTAGACTACAAATTTTGTCACAGGAGCCTGCATTCTACTTAATTTTTCTACCTTTCTTCTACAACTACAATTCTAAATAATCAAAATTAACATTTAAAGGAAAAGCCTCAATGATTCATTTATCTTCCTTTTATTTTATCGGCTCCCTTTAGAATTTTTCAGCAATAATGAAAAGAAAATAATTTTCTAGTTAAAATGTCACATAACCATAAAACTTTACTTGCTGACAGCTAACTATATCAGGATATCACTTTCCAACTCTCCTATAAAACGCTTCCTAATGCCATCACCCCAGAGCTCCAAAAACAAATAACTGGAAGTTTTGTGAAATAGCACTTTTGATTCTTTCCTACTCTGTCAAATGCTACAACCTTGCTGACAGTCCCCAGTACAGATTAACTACAGATCACCATATTTTCTTACCTGGAAATAACCAAAAACTTTAGTGAGCTTATAACAAATCATCGAATTATCATCTCTTGACCTCCCTCAGCCTTAAAATAGGATTCTGTGATTTTGAAACAAATTAATAAGTTATTTCATTTTAGCCTAAACATCCCCTCTTCAGAGATACCTTCTCTGACTGATCCAAAGTAGCCTCATATCTCTCACTATCAGAAAGCCCTGTTTTATCTCTGTCAGAGCACTCATCATCCGTTACCCAGTATTTCACATTGTATTGACACATTTATTGTCCATCTCCCACCACTAGACTGTTCTGCTCCGGTAGAGCAGGGACCTTGCTTACTATGCTCACCTCTGTAGCGTAAGCAATTGTTGAATGAATGAATGAATGAATCCCTGTCCTACACTATCCTTCCCCCCAATAAAATGAAAAGGCTCCGTTAAATGCTTTTGCTGACTTAAATGTCAACCACTAAATATGGCGATTGGAGAGCTCTGTCACTTATTAACTACGTGTTTTTGGGTAAGTTAACTTATTAGCTCCACTTTATTATTACTATTTTAATTGCTAATACTTGGGCAAGGGGCTGGACTAAGCACTTTATATAGATCATCTTATTTAATCCTCACAAGAGTCATGTAGACACTATTATTACACCTATTTTGCTGATGAGGAAACTGAAGCACCCTTGACTCTGGCCTAAGGTCATACAGTCAGTAAACTGAAGACCCTGGATTCTATTCAGGCAGCCTTACTCCATGGCCCCCATTCTTATTTACAACACCATGCTTTCTCTCCAGGGCAAACGTAACACCAGACAGATCCAAAAGAGCAGACAGAACCAATAACTATAGTTATAATTACAATACCTATAAAATTACCAAAATAGAGTAATCAGATCAAATCATTCAAAGATTATCTCACACTATAAAAAAAAAATTTAGGCATTCTAAATAGCCTTTGGGGTTTTTTTTTTTTTTTTAAATAACCCTCAGAAGCATAGAGCAGACACTTTTCTGAAAATGTTTTCAAATTTTATGGTAAGTAGGCCACAATACAGTCAATTTCAAGAGCAGGTTAAAGACACCAAACCTGACTTCTGTCAAATCCCAAGCTGTTTTTATTACACTAAAAGGTTTAGAGGGTTTGAACAGTTCTGACCCAGAAACGAAAGATGCCAAACTTTGGAGTTATTACCACAACTTCAAACTTCAGTAATTTAAGACTTCATAAAATGATGGCTTAGGAAGTCTATATGTGGAATTCAAATGAAAACTTCATGAGCAAAGCTTTCATTTAGACTCTCCCAAACTTGATTTTCTGAACAAAGGTCCAGCCAGCCCATAATGTGGAAACAATTATGAAAATGAAGACATTGGAAAACCACTCAAGCAGCTTTTATTTCTAGCTGCATCTTCCAAGACAAGTTGCTGCCGGCCTTTCAGCTGGCTTTCAACTAAACACTCTCCTTGTCCTCCTAGGAAGAAACACGGTGCATCAAAAATAACATCAATTGATGTTGGGTGTGTTTTCTTTTCCCACAGTCCACAAACGTCGAATGTTCCTCTCCTCTTTGGAAACCCCATCCAGCTGGTTGTTGGATATTAGGTTAGCTGGTACCCTAGTGGCCAGAAGAGAGACCAATTCTGCATAAGTGATGACGTTTGCTTACTGAATTCTTTTTAATAATTCATGTTAATGGAAAAATCAGATAGCATGGGAGATTTAAATCCACACATAATCTCTGAGATTCACTGTAGCCATTTGCACTTGCTGTTCCCGCTGCCCAGGAGCCTGTTCCCCCAGACACCCCAGGGCTCATTTCTCTACTTCATTCCTGCTCAAATATCACTTCATCAAAGAGCCCTCCTCTACCAGTCTTTAAAAGAACAATGGACCCCCCACCTCACCAGGTACTTTAGCCCTTTACCCTGCTTAATTTTTCTTTACAATATTTCTCACTCAAAAAAATGAAACTCGTTAACTGTCAAGTCGATTCCG